GTTTTGATGATGTTTAACAAACAATTTACTTCTAATGTTGTTTGTCTAGTGTTTGTGTTTTCGTATTTATTCTAGACAAACAACGAGTTAGAGGATGGATGAAATTGCGTATTTACGATCATATCCAATGGAGGTTCGCGAAATTATGGAGTGAAACCTATGCAATTCAAAGTTAAAGATTTAAGTTCAAGCTTTATCCGAAAGTGTACCAAGATAGAGCTTCGTTGAAGATCACAAGCTTGGGTAATTTAGTTTAGGAGTTTATATTATGTGTGTTAAGTACTTTAAGCTCAATATCATATACACACACATTCTATTGGTTTCTATGTATGTGTGTGTGTGTGTGTGTGTATATATATATATATATATATACATACTCATATGTTTCATATTCTATTGTATTTGTGAAAATTCTGTATTCATTGTTTATAGACTTCATAACAATAGTTTATATCTCTCTTTAAGTCTACAAAATCATTTTGTAATGTTTTAAAATATAGTTAAGCTAAAATGTCAAAACTCATATGTTTACATTTTTATATTTTGAACTATTTTGCAAAATAATAATATTTTTCTTTGGGAGGTCCTTTTTGAAAACCAATTTTTGTAGCATGTGTATTATCATGTCTACAATCATTTTCTAAAGTTTTATATTTTTTTGAATTTATTTGATATTTTTAAACAGGGTTTTAAATCAGAAAAATTGTTTTTAAATTATCACTTTCATATATCAGTTTCGGTCGACCGTCATGGTCGACTGCGCCTATGTTTTTCCCTCAGGAGCCAGCAGAGACTTTCGCAGTCGACCGTCACGGTCGACCGTCAGTCCGAAAATTCCCACGGTCGACCGTAAAAGTTTCTGGAATTTTCTCAGTTTCAAATATGGTTCGCGGTCGACCGCGAGTTTTGTACAGAATCTGAAAAATATTTTTCTGGGTTTTGGGGAGATTTGGTTGGGGGTTTTGCTATTGGTTTCTCTTCCTATATAAACCCCTCAAACCCCAACTACCAGAGATCATCTAAGAAGTTTTTAAACAAGAGTTTAACAAAGGTTTAAGTTTGTTTATAGACTTCTGTATTTGTGAAAATTCTGTATTCATTGTTTATAGACTTCATAACAATAGTTTATATCTCTCTTTAAGTCTACAAAATCATTTTGTAATGTTTTAAAATATAGTTAAGCTAAAATGTCAAAACTCATATGTTTACATTTTTATATTTTGAACTATTTTGCAAAATAATAATATTATTATTTGGGAGGTCCTTTTTGAAAACCAATTTTTGTAGCATGTGTATTATCATGTCTACAATCATTTTCCAAAGTTTTATATTTTTTTGAATTTATTTGATATTTTTAAACAGGGTTTTAAATCAGAAAAACTGTTTTTAAATTATCACTTTCATATATCAGTTTCGGTCGACCGTCATGGTCGACTGCGCCTATGTTTTTCCCTCAGGAGCCAGCAGAGACTTTCGCAGTCGACCGTCACGGTCGACCGTCAGTCCGAAAATTCCCACGGTCGACCGTAAAAGTTTCTGGAATTTTCTTAGTTTCAAATATGGCTCGCGGTCGACCACGAGTTTTCCACGGTCGACCGCCGTATGCCCAACGGCTCTTTTTGTACAGAATCTGAAAAATATTTTTCTGGGTTTTGGGGAGATTTGGTTGGGGGTTTTGCTATTGGTTTCTCTTCCTATATAAACCCCTCAAACCCCAACTACCAGAGATCATCTAAGAAGTTTTTAAACAAGAGTTTAACAAAGGTTTAAGTTTGTTTAGTGTTTGTTTAAAAGAGTTTTGTTTGAGAAGAAGTTTTATACAAGTGGAGGAGATCATCTACATTCCTTAAGCTTCATTTTAATTCATCTCTCAATCTTGTTTTTTAGAGAAGAATTTCTAAACTCTATACTAGCTTTGTATTAATTCTTTGTTGTTTATCATTTTCATTAAGCTAGTATTTACAATTGAGTTTAGTTGATTTGATTTTACTCATTGCTTACACATACCCACTTGAGCTTATTGTATTTTCATACATAGTATATTTGGGTTGGTGAGAGTTGTAACAATTGAGTGTGAGCTTTCATTGTGTTCTCATCCATATTAGAGAACAATCATTTATTGTAATTGTGCTTATTGTGAGATTCACTTTTGTAATACACTTGTACACTGAGAGAAGTATGTGGCGAGAGTCGGGGATCGTCCCAAGAGGAGTGACGTTGGTTGATGAGCCTAGGGAGAGGTTGTATCCGAGCACTTGAGGGAGACACCTCTAGTTCCAACACTTTAGAGGGTGTAGAGTGGAATTGCAAGAGTGTTGATTGTAAAGTTTTCGGTAAACTAGAAAACCAAGTGTGAGGTGTAAACGTTATTCGGGTGAGCGTAGAAAACCCGGTTGTGATAGTGGATTTCTCCCCGGGAGTGGAGAGCGGAAACGTAGGACGGAAGGTCCGAACTCCGTGATCATATTGTGTTTGCATTGTTTATTTGCACACTATCTCTCTTGTTTTGTCTATGTTTATTTCACCATTTGTGTTAGTTTATATATCCTTGCATATATTTTACTATATATCTCATTGCTAGGATATTGCTCTTGGTTATATTGCTCATTCTTGTTTATAACATATTATATATCTATCTTGCAAGAATAACTTGTTAATTAGTTTTAATTGGCATAAAATCGGATTAGATTAGCATAAGACCTTAATCACCCCCCTCTAGGGTCTAACATTATTTTCAAACACTTTATATTATTTGGTAGTTTGGTATAAGGTATTATTTGCAATATGTTGTTATATTTCGATATAAGTTGCAAAATATTTTTTTTACTTAAGTCGTTATATTTTGCTGAAAGTTGCAAGCAAAAATGTTGATAAACACAAAATGGATTTAATTTCAGAAAGTCCCCATTAACTTTAGACAATTATCAGATAACGCCCATTGTTTTCAAAATATAGAAGGGTACCCCTTAAGTTCAGTGTTATCAAAAAAAACCCTTTAACTTTAATTTTTTTATTAGAAAACAACTCTAGCAGCATTAATCATAATTTTTACTGGAAAAGAAAAATTATCTAGCCTAATGTTATCTGCCAATGCGTGGATTGCGATTTCTGATATACAACTTGTTAGGGGGGTTTTCCCATAAAATCTTAAACTTAAAAAAGGATTTTCTGATAACACCAAAATTAAAGGGCAACTTTCTAATATTTTTAAATTCATGTGATTTTATTTGATAATCGTCATAATCGTCGGGTGTCTTTGAATTAGCAGTAATTTTCGGAGTTGGGGGGTCTGAGAAAATTGTGGCATAAAGCTTGGAAGGAGAAACTTTGACAACAACCCCTTTTAGGATAATATTAGCAAAAATGACCGTGTTTGAACAAAATGAGCAAAAACTTTTTGCCTACAGCTTCGGTGCTCCATAAAGATTTGTTGGAGCACCGGTGGTATATCTGTAAATAAATTCCTTAAAAATAACACTCACATCTCTAGATAGATAGATTTGACGGTTATGAGGTGTTCCACACCCAAAATTATAATTAACCATAATTTCAATTAGATAAAAAGGTTAGTTTAGGAAATAAAATTTAGGAGATAAAAAGAATTTATGATTAATTAGAATTCCCCAACTAACTAATATTTCATGTTATAATTTTTACCGTGTTATCATGTAACGCTTCTCATTTTTCATAAGAAAAAAAGATTCGCACTTTCCAAATGATCATTGGACAAATTATGGCAGAACTCAATTTTTTATTGTTTTCTATTTAATAAACAATTTTCTCTATTTGGGGATGTGTGTTGATAGTTTTTCACGAACGATCCCAATTACCGCATCCTTTTTGTTGCATTGTGTTCTCCTCTTGGGTCTCCTTCAATGAGTTTTATTGGGTTTCCCTCAATAGGTTTCATGGATTATGAGAGTGTTTGGAATCCTTTCTAAGAAGAAAATAAAAAGGAAAGTGCTTGTAATAATCATCATTGAAGAAGGATTTTCGATCGGAACATGATATAAAATTTTCTCACTTTTAAAAATTATTTATTAAAAAGAAATTTAAAATATTTACTGAAGCAAACTTTTTCTAGTTGGGTTCATGGTAAAGAGCAAGATTAAATTATTAAAAAATTAAACTTCAAATACGAGAGGGAGAAAACGATGAAGAAGAGAAACAACAGAAAAATAAAAACTTAAATGGGAAATGTCAAAAGCGCCCTTTCTATTTTCATCCATTTATTGATTTTTTAGCATTTAAAAAAAGCCTATTATCGGTGTACCGAAGCATTCCTCAAACTTTTTATCCTAGCTAAGATGAAGACGGTCGGTTTTGCCGGGGAAGAAGTTGTTATTTACACGGAACTGCTAGTCCCTTGTAATTACAAATGGTAGTTAACCGCGTTAATATAACTCCCGACCACCTCCACCTGCCCACCTACCCTACTTCATTTCCTCAAAAAATCTCGTGACCCTTGCCTAAAACCCCGACCTCCTCCTTGTTGGATTTGCTCGCGACTATCGTCGCCTCTGACGCACTTCG